AAACAAGGGAGCAAATGAGGCTGAGCACTCCCTTTACTCCCAGCTACTCCAGATCACCCTCCGCAGTGACTGCTTTATGGAGTGTGGCAAAGGCAGGTGCCAGAAAAGCAAATTTTCAGGACTTAAGCGGTAACTTACAGTGTGCTGTCTGGAGCAGGATGCTTAGTTATAATGCTGCATCTACTCATGTAATAAGCAGGGTCTTTTTTCACTTATCTGGTAGAATGAGTTGCAGATACGAATCAAGCAGTCAGGGAAACAAGGACATCTCCCCTCTGCCCATAGCTGAAGCCCCTTGTTTCTCATTCAGTTCACAGGTGCGCTCATGCATCTGTCACTGAAATCAATGAGACTTGAACTTATAGATCCCAGTGTAAATTTATGGATTGGAATGGCTCTGAAAAGGCATTAAAATACCATAAGGCCAAGGGCTGAAAGGCTGTCTGAAATCACATTCATATGTTTTTCTGTAACCACACCAAGTAGCAAACATAGCCAGTGTCCTCAAGCCAGGACAAATGAAAGTACCCAATAAAACTTTAAATAAAAATAAAATGTCAAGGGAAAATATGTTGACATTTACATGCATTTCTTCTAATCCAGATTTCACCTTTTGCACAGCTTCTCCTACATGAGACCAAGTCAAGCTGGCTTGCAATCAAAAAGGCACTAGTGAATGCATTTGATAGAGACCACCTCAGCTCCTCAAATACAGCCTGTTCACGGATGCTAGAAGCTGAACACCAGAAAGCTTTGCAGAGGGGATTGTGCTCAAAAATGGTATCTGACAAATAAATTTGCACCATTTTTAAAAATATTCAAGCAAAAACCAATCGAGAGTCTCTCTTCACTGCCACCCCCACAAGCTTGGTGGTTTGCAGAAGCCACAGCTACCAGCTTCATTTAGTACCAACTCCTGGGTGTTATTGTGTGGAGAGCAAGGACTCAGCAAGACATCCTCTGACTGCCAGCCCAACTCCTGCATTGCCCCAGGACTGCCCTTACTGTCACCTTGGTACTAGAGGAGGTCAGCATCATGGGCACGAGTGATCTTAGCAGTGTGCAGCTTTTCTTGATGTGCAAAATACCTGGCACAGGGTGTGAGACAGGCACACCAGGCCACCTCATTCCTCCCATGGTGCAAGAAAATGGCTCTATCATTCCACCTAACAACAACATCAAGAAGGATTTAGCTGCTGTTTCTTGCTCCTTAGCTATAGATAACTTTACGAAACACCGTAATGTCAAGCTCTGCTTTCCTGATGGGGTTTTCCAAGGGCTGTTAGTATAGTGTTAGATCTGTCTGGGCCTCCTCTTCAAAGAGGTGAACCTGCAAGAGAGCAGCTTCCTTTCCACTTGCTTGTTCCACGTGGCTGACCCAAACTTCGCAGTCAGATATGAGCAGCAGTCATAACAATGGGCTGCCCAAAAGGTTACATTCACTGCTGCATCCCATTGAGCACTGCTCGCTCCTCCTAGTGCACACACCTGGCTCTGGAAGTGAGGCCCTTCCACAACCAGCTCTCATCCCTGTCCTGCTTTGGGCTATAACAGGGCAGGAGAAAAATAACTGTTACAGCTGAAACCAGAACAATCCCCACGTCTTCTCTATTGGTTACAGATTTCTCTGGTTCATCTATCTGCACATGGCCTGTAATGTCTGCAGGATTCCAGAGCTACTGCCCACCTTTTTCAAGCCTCGGTGTCACCATCTCACAATGCAAAAGGAATAAGAATCATAATCTCTCCCTTTGATGTTTTTCTCTAGGAAGAAATACAGTCTTTTTCCCCAACACATACAGCCTGAATGGCAGCACCAGAGCTGAGTTGGTCCCAGGGGATGGCCAAAGAGCTCTGAGCTGGAGAAAGGCACAAGGCAAATAGTCAAACGTACCCACCACCCATTGCACTGCAGTGATCTGCAGCAAGCATCAAACAGGCCCAAAGGCCCCAGAACATTTGTTAGAGCCCTTTAGTTACTATTCTCATTTTCCATTTTCAAAGAAAACCTGATATTCCAAGCAGGTCTTCTATATACTTTTTTGTTGTAGTTAAATAAATCTGATGAATAAATGGATCTGCTTAAGTCAATATAGGACCAATCTATGGAGTCATATCTTAACTGGTGTTATCTAGGTTGATTTCACGAAACTAAGCCTGCACAACTTACCATTCTGCATTAACCTGTGTAAGAAGAATCATGCTGTCTGCAGCTGATGCTGGCCAGGACTTTTGAGAGCAGCAGAATACCCGTTCAGCTGAGAAAATCATGCTAGCTGCCTAAGAACTGTAGTATTTAGTAGCAGAGAGAGATGATCTACCAGTCCCTATAAATCCAGACAAGCCTTTGTAATTCTTTAAATACAGGGAAAATGTATGTGCAAATAAATCATTCATCAATTAACAAGAAAACTCAGAAGAATTTAGGTCATGAATATAAACGTCCCTGCTCTCAACACACTGGAATCTCTATTTGGTTCCTTTTAAGTTTCAGCAAAACAAAGGGGTTGATATCTGTTTTTCCCAACCTATCAGTTTCAGTTAATTTCAGTCCAATAAGAACTATGAAAAGGTTGCAGAAATCATCCTGGGTCTGCATTTGCCATGAGACACATCAACTGCTTCATGTGCCGTGGCAAATGCAGTGTGACTTCTGCTGATTGCTCCTCTGACGCTACATCAGCTCATGCTGAACCCAAAGCAATTCATAACAACCAGGTGTTGACTGAGGGCAATAACAAACCCCCTCCAAAACCCAATAATAATTCAAAGGAGGCTTTCTTTTCTGTACTGGTGGTGCTTTTCAAGATTTAATGGGAGCAGATTTTTGGGACGAAAACACAAGGAAATATGGTTTTACCTGAGCCCTTCTGTGCAATTTGTATGTCTCAAGAAGCAGAATGGCCAGTGTCTGTGTGGGGATCAGGCCCACAGGAATAAAATATTAATTATTCACAAACTGATGCTCTTGGGTTTGGTCTGGGATCACGTACTGCCTTCTCCTGGTAAAATAATGTTGGCTTTTCCCATTCAAATAATTACCAAGTATTCAAATCCTTTGTCAAAAGCGAAGCATCAGCAAACCAAACAAAACCAACCAACCAACAGAAAAAGCAGACAAAGGGGAACTCCACTGTAAACCTTTTCTTCCAGTCAATGTCTCAGCAAAACTCAAGCAGCCCTGAAGTCTCTGCGCAACACATTCACTTCTTCCTGCTGCAAGAACTCAGTCTCCAAATAAGGTGTGTGCAACGGAGCTATGCTGCTGTCACTTAATTAGCCCTGGCCATGTTGTAAGAACAAGTTTTAAAATGAAATTTTCATCAAATTAAGGAGTAATTACAACCGGGATGAGGGGCTAGGCCAGCCTGGGTCTGAGCAAGAGCAGTCAAGGGAAAACACCTGAGAATTTCTAGCAAAGCAGCACTGGTATCACTCTCAGGTGATCACTCTCAGCCTACCCTTACACCTAGAGATCAGGGCTGTACCTGCATGGCACAACTTGCAGACTGTGGCACAAATGCAAGTGTTACAAAATGAGCTCCGAATCCTGAAGCCAAACAGTCACACATCCGTGGATGTTGTTGTTGCGGATGTTTAACCACACAGAAAAATGGGGCTCCTGCTCTGAGGCACTGTATCTGGCTGGCTCCTGTCTTCCCTGTCTTCCTAAACCCACTTTGGATACCTTCCTACTGGCTCCACAAAGCTCTAGTATCCTATAGCTTTAAGAGAGACGGTTTCACTGTAAGGGGGTGTCTTCCCATCATACACACCAGTTTCCCCAGACACTGAGGCCTGAGGGATCCCAACCTGCCTGCTTCTGGTGCAGCACAGATGTCACCCAACAGCTGATCCAGTACAAAAGAGAATTCCTTACGTTTCCTAGTTGTCTGGGCCTTCTCAGTAAGCATTTTGCAGTGCTCATTATGTGTCTTTCATCAACTTAGCATCTGAGGATGAAAGTTTCTTGCTACTTTGGCTTTTGTATTGACAAGAATTTTCATAAATCAGCTTCAGTAAATAAAAACCCCCTTTGCTTCTCCCTGCCACAACAAGCAAGGGAAAACAAGGTCCAATAAACCCCAAGCCACCACCACAGAGTCCCATATCTGAAATGTTATGGAAAGGGATTTGATGAACTCCCCTTTTTGCTGACCTCCCTTAGCTGAACGCTGTTGGGGTGTGCATTTACAAATCAGGCTTTGGTCTCTAAACCAAAAGAAATGTCCTGACTTCTTCCTGCCCATGATTTGCGAAGGCAGTAACTCCCAATCAGTGCAACTCCCCCAGTTCTTCCCAAGGTGATGGTTGCACATATGTGAATGTCAGTGTTCCATTTGCAGCCCAAGCCTGGTTTTATGTTTTTTGGAGGAAGCTGTAAGTATTGGGCACTGCAGAGATTTTAAACACCACTCTTTAATCAAGTGAAATATTAAAGCCAAAACTAATACAGTGTCAGGCAATAAGCATTGGGGGACGCTGCCTTATCTAATTTGCTGTCATCTGCAGTAATCTCTGCTATTAATATTACCATGAAGAGCTTGGTAATTTTACCATGTGATGAATTTAAGTAAACTTAGGCACTTAAAACTTAAACTCACCACTTCAGCACGGTCACTCAGGAGTGTGTGCCAGCAGGAGTGACTGCTTCTCTGGCCTCCTCAGCCTCTGGTCTGAATATTGAAACCCCAACTACAGCACAGCAACCAATATAAAACTAACCACTCAAATGGCTGTGAAAGGTGTGTGGGCATCAGAGATTGGTGATAGGTATTCAGCAGAGCTCGAGCAACATGTGGTGGTCTACATCCTTTCAGAAACAGCAACCCATCATCAAATGTGGGATATGGAACTTCTATGGTTCCTGCTCAAAGTAAGGACCCAAAGGACACAGATGGACCAACTATTGACCTTTGTCTGATGAACAATTTACCTTTTTGGTTTGTATTAACAGAAGCAATCAGAAGAGGAACAGACCAAGGGGCTGTTAAACTCACACAATGTAGTGAATAACTGCTTCCCTGGGGACATGCTCTCCGCTAGAGTCACTTGGTGTCACAGTGGTCACACAACTGGAGAAGAACAAGGAGCAGGTAAGGCCCAGGTCAGGGATGATACAACAGAAACAACTAGTTTAAAGGAGGTTTGTCTGCCTACAACCTCACAAGACAAAGCCCAGGTCTGACCCCAGCATGGCTGGCAGGGTCTCCCTTCACACAAGTGCAGTAAAACTGCCTCACTGGCTCAGGAGAAAAGCAGGAGGTGGATGGAGGGCACTGCAGGTACGGCTGCACAGCAGGTGAAGGTGCACGTTGTGTCAGGGACCCATCCCTTCCATGGCTTTAGTCTGGCAGCACTGATGAGGATAACAGCAACATAAGGACCCAGGTGACAGCATGTGCTTGCAAGAGCCTTCCAGGGGTTCCCCCTGCACACACACACCCCACAGCCCTCTCATTCTCTGCTGTTTCTGGAGTCACACTAACAAGCATGTGCCTGCACATGGAATTACCTCTGTTTGCCCTGCAGACATCCTGGTGGTGTTTCAAATCAGACATTTATGCCTTTGCCCCACAACTAAGTATTAAACTGTTCTGTGTGTTCTGACATCTCCTCACAGTTAAACCTTCCTCCCTACGAAGTACGCTTTTCATTTGATCTATTTTAATCTTTCTATTCCTTACTGAATTCCCTGACCTAATAAGATAGCAGTACCTTAGAAAGCAGAACAGCAAATGGCAGCTAAATAATATTGCTATTTTACCAAGGAGAACTGAAACACAGAGGAAATACTTGAAGACAACGAGAAGAATGTCTAAAGCTGTCTCTGCACAGAGTCACATATTGCACACCAAACATCTTGGACAGCATGCCCCGTGCTGGGGGGCAGGAGGACATTCTCCTGGATCAGGTGCAACCAGAAGCATCCCCTACCAGCTTGAGCACTAGTACTGACAGATAGTACATGATGGTCCTCAGTAGTAATATAGCTGGTGTGGAGTTCAAATGAAGGATAGGATAGTTCAGTATTATTCAGCTGCTCTTGGATATAAGCCAATAGAAATAACTCATTGCTTATCTCATGCCAAAACCACACCACTGTGCACTAACCCTATCCTTATCTCGGTGATTACACAAGGCAAGAAAACCCCAGCAGAAACTCAGCTACAATTACTTGACATCTAAAGGCCCTTGCAAGTTGTATTTGATGTTCACTGTCCCCTTAATACCTTTCATGATTATTACCTACGGTCCTTGATTTGTTGCTGTTACTCACACCAATAAATAGCACAAAGTATTTTATCCCTTCAGCCAGAGCTGGAAACCACTCAGACGCAGCTTTAAGAGACCAGAGGTACATTGTAGAGTGCAAAGCACAGAGCTGCTGAAAGAAGAGTTGCTGGGAGGGAGGGCAAGCCCCAGCAGTGCCAGGCAGCCATTAACCCTGCTGATGCCCACAACACAGCTCAGCTGCCACTGCCAACCCCAAAGTTTGTGTTTTATTGACAAGCTTGGTCCCTGCTAAAACCAATACAGAGTCTAACCACAAGTCCAGGAAGATCTCAGTTTTAGGCAAATCAAATGCCAAACTCTCTTACATGGCATGCAACAAGATGGCCACCAAGTTCTCAAACTTGGCTGGACATCACTGCATACACGTAACAAAGCACAAAGCCCACCACAGATTAAGAGACATTTAGAAAGAGTTGTTTAAGAACCATCTGCTGTGCTTAAACACATTTTTAAATCCAATATTTTTGGAATTTTTTTTTATTATCTTTGTTAAACAATTTGGATTCGTGACAGATTTTGAAATACAGAGATGTTGTCTGCAGAGATGTCAACACTGAAGCTCATGCAATTCCTGGTATTGGACCTGACTGTGGGTAACAGTGTAAAAAAGTTAAAGGACAGGCTATAAAGACTTAAATATGAACAAATTATTTCTGAATAAACTTGCCATCTTAAGCCTCAGGAAGTCCTTCATTAGTGCAGGTGAGCCCAGCCACCCTGCACAGCTGCCTGGGAGCAGACAACTGAGATTGACTGAGATCTGTATTTGAAAGAGTTTGACAGACTTTTGTAATACTTCACAGTGAATGGTTTCTGTGCATCCTAGAAGGCACATCTGGTACTCCCTTCTTGCTTTCTAAATAATTGCTATATACATTAACTTGATTCAATCCTTTCTGTGATATGCAATGCACTTATCCTGCTGTGGGTATTAGTGACTCAGGCTGCCATTCTGTAGCACATTCTCTAAAGCTGTTATCAATACCGGATTTAGGTGGAGGGTGAGATGCTGGCGGGGGGGGCTGTGACTTGAGCAAGCCCAGGGAAGGGCAGCATTGGACCCTCTCAGTGTTTTACATTCTCTTCTGCAGAAAATATCAAACAGGATTTCACTGGAGGAAGGGCAGTTATTTTTCAGGTACCAACTGAAAGAAATACCAACCTGTTCTGCACTAGATTATGTGGGACAATATGCAATACATTGCTAGCAAGTTATGACATTGATTCATTCCCTGTATTGAATTTGTTCACAGTAATGAATGAATTACTTGTCCCTCAAAGACCCCAGGCTTTTATCCCACTTTTATTGATTAATGGTTTACAACTTTGAAACTACCTGCAAAAAGTGATTAATGTAACTTACTTTATAGTCTTAAAAAACAGTGTAAGCAATTAGGGTTCCTACAGTAAGCCCTGCCTAGCAGGGAGTGAAACATGTTCTGAGCCATTAGCCTATATTTCAGCATGGAAAACAGTAAAAGGGTGCATTGACACTAAACTGAAGCACATTTATCTCTCCAAAATCATTGTAAAACATGGAGGATGGACTAAGAAGAATTAATGACTACTACAAAATCTTTCAATAATTTTTAGAAGTGGTGCATGGAAATAACTGTGAAAGTGGGATTCTTCATCAAAAGCAATGGCGTAATTCTTGGCTTCTGCAAGACAAGCAAAGAATTAATAAAAACTTGTTGGGGCGGGAGGACAAAGAAGGTGAGCTGAACAAGAATTCGAGAGGTGCACAAAGTAGATGCAAAGGTAAAGATGAGATTGAAGGATGCACCTTGAAGTAGGTGAACACCACTCTTAAATAAAACAACGTAGTTCATCGAGTTGCAGTCTGTAACAGAGGTCTGCATAACCCATTCCTGCACCTAAGCTCTATACCATTAAAGAAGTGGCAACAGACACTCCAACCAACTCATAGGTAACTGCATGGCAAAGCCGGGAGCTACTGGAAGCACCTGAATGAAGGTAGAGGAAGGGAGGGCAGACAGAAAACCAGCCCCGAGATAAACGTGGTCATTCCTGGAGCTGTTTAAAAGCCTGGAAATGGAAACGAAGTTGCACTAAGAGGTGCTAAAATGGTTCTGAGCTGCTTCATTTGCTCTCATTTGCAGAAGGGCAACAACCTACAGACATTTCACATATTCAGCAGGCACAGTGACATTGCTGCAAACTCTGCTGTAGGTTAGGAAACAACAGCTTGCATCTAGATAACATTTTCAAATATGATTAACTTCAAGGATTATATGCTGCAACTGAGGAGTGATAATTTCTTATGCATTCCTGAACAGGGCTGGTTTTCCATTTTTCATAAATGGAGAAGGCAGAAAAATTTGTTTTGCTGCCCAGGATTCCAAAATGACTAGAAAAAAAGCAATACATTTGTAGAGCAATAGCAATTAGCTGCACAGTCATTTCCATTCCTAATTGCAGGTAATTAGGATGACAGTGGTCTCTGAACAACAGTGTTCATGATTAATTGTAGGAAGAAGGAGTGAGAGCAGCACAATGAAAGCAGTGCACACTCTTCTAGTAAGTTTCTCTCATGTGGATTCTAACCCCCATGTCACATTTCAAACTCCATCACTCCAGCTCAAGTGATGACTGAAAGCATTCGATATGGACACCAAACATTAAAGTTGCCCCAAAGCCTGGTTGGTCTGGGTTCCCCCAGGGGACCCAAAGCCCTGGGCACTTGGGGAGCTGATTCCAGCCTGGAGCTGGGAGGACTTCTGCCAGGGTTTCAGTCATGGGCTGTTCCTCTCGGTCTTGCAGATGCTTGTTAATGCAAATGGTTTCTAATAACATCCTAGTTGTGTTTAGGGACCAGTTGCCAATAGTTTACACTGTGCGTAGGGAGTGGATATCAAGTTGGTGCCCTGGAAGCCCTGAGCCTGTGCTGCATGGAGCTTGTAATGCTACTGAGACAACCCCCAAGGGAAGAGTGGCAGTCTCGATGAAATTGTCCAGAAAACCCTGCGGAAGTTTGGGAAGCCCAGCTGCATACTGTGAGCGTGTTGAAGCGCTGATATCTTATCCACGCTCTCTGCACACACACTGTCAGAGCAGGGCTGCAGAGCTGAGTGAAGCACAGAAAATGAAGGGTTTAACTGGGAAGAAGATATGGGAAAATGATCTCTTTATGGACAATACTGAACCTGGAAAGGACATTTTGATAGGGTTGCAGTTACACTGGAAACATTTCACCAAGACACTGTGTTAACCCCACTCTCAAGTAAATCTGTTGATTCCACAGCAGCAGGCAAGCAGCAGCACACTGCCCGACATGGGATGTCCCATAGCACAGAGCCTCTCCTTCTCACTGACGGCAGCAAACAATTTGGTGTAACCAGGTGCTCTCTGTAAGTTCAGTTTGACAATGTGTCTGTCTGACTGTCCCAGGGGCTGCACTCCCCACAGGTTTCCCTGGGCTCTCAGTTACGGAACCACAAAGCATTCCAAAGAGTAGGAGAAGAAGACAGGATCACTTGGCAAGAAGCACTCAGGCACCCCAGGAGCCCTCCAGGGCTTCCTCCTGCAAAGCTTGCCCAGGTGCCCCAGACAGATGTATCACTGCTTTGTAGACCCTCTGGAGAAGATAACCCAGCTGCAGCTGGTGTATGCCAGAAGCACAAGAACAGGGATTGGCTTTTGCCCAGCCAAAGCCCTCAAGAAACATGGGATGGGGTGAACGTTCCGTAAGGTGCTTCCATGGGTACCAGGACCTCTCTGCCCTTTCTCCTCTCAGAAACCAGATCATCTCAGCGCT